TATACAAAGCCAGCAAACGATGAGTAAGGCCAAAAGCCAGCAAAACGACTAATGGAACAAAGCCAGCAACGATCTATATCATAAAGCCAGGCCAACGAATATGAAAGGCCGAGCAAGCAACGATATATTATAAGCCCAGGCAGACGAATTAGTACCTAGAAGCCAGCATACCGATTAAATAAAAGCCAGACAGAGGCGATATATTCAAAGCCAGCAAAACGAACTATACGGCAAAGCCTTAGCAGGCGACTGATATACAAAGCCAGCAAAACGATATACGAAAGCCAGCAAGGATATACAAAGCCCAGCAGTACGATATACATAAGCCAGCAAACGATTATACAAATGGCCAGCAGAAGCTGAATATACAAAGCAGCAAGCGATATAACACAAGCCAGCGGAAACATAATAGATATACAAAAGGCTGCACGAGCAGAAACGCATATAGTCCAAAAGCCAAGGCAACGATATACGCAAAGCCGAGCATTGAGCGAATAATACGCAAAAGCCCAGATAACGATATTAGCAAAGCCAGCAGACGATTAATACCAAAGCCAGCAAACGGAAGGCTCACACTAGCCAGGCAAACCAGATATATTATTCTTAGAGACGCATATACACTAACGCACAGCATAACGATATTTTCAGAACAGCAGCGAAACGATATAGCAAAGCCAGCACGTGAGGATCGATATACCATAAGCCAGTATAGACACATCGAGTAATACAAAATCCAAGCAAAACGATATACAAAGCAGTATAAGATTGTGGGCGATTATAACAAAGCCATGTAATGAGGGAGGACAGGGATAGTATACAAAGCCAGTAGACGATATTACAAGGCCGCATACAATATAATCAAAGGCCAGGTATACGATATACATAGAGACCAGCATATTTGTTATTATAGAGCATAGATTCTATGCAAGACGATATACAGAAGGCAGCAAACCGATTAGTCACACAGCCACGCACCCGAGGTTACCAAAAAGCCAGTTATATTATACAAAGCCAGTATAGAAATATACAATCCACGCACACGCACTCTCACAAGCACAGCAATAAGCGATATACAAAGCAGGTATATCTTATATCAAAGCCATAAATTGAAGGTCAGTGAGTGATAATCTAGCATTATTATTATTGCATACAGCGCGTTGTGAAGCCCGATACGAAGACACATGACCGTATATAACAAATTTGCCAGCATACGATACTACAGAGATGCCATGTATAGCGAAGTATACAAAGCCGCATATGAATATAGACAAAGCGATACAACACATGACCGACATAATACAAAGCAGCATACGATATACAGAAGCAGCATAATGAATATAACAAAGCCAGCAAGACTGTATATCAAAGCCAGCAGTATGATTAAAAATCGTGGCCAGCTAACGAATATAACAAAGCAGCAAAACGATATACAAAGCCAGGCCTCATTTACGATATACAAAGCATGCAGAGAGCGATATAAAAAGCCAGCAATATGATATGACAAAGCAGCATAACGATAATCACAAAGCCAGCAAACGATATACAAAGCCAGCAGTTTTACGATATACACACAAGCCAGCAAATACGAATATACAAAGGCCAGCATACGGATTATATTCTATTAGCCTCAGTAACGATATACCAAAGCCAGCATACGATAACAACGCCCAACAAACGATTATATTTCAGAGAGAGGGAGAGCAGTACATGGTCACGATATAGCAAAGCAGCATACTCGACTCAGTGTAGCCAACAGCCAGCAAACACGATAGTACCTTCAAAGCCAGCCATAATCGATATACAAAGTCAGCATATGATACACAAAGCCAGCATAACGATACCACAAAGCCAGCATAGCGAAATGAGCAAAGCCAGCACTACGATAGTAAAGCCAGCCCCGAGAGGCAGACGAATACAGCCACATATGAAGCGAATACTCACCTCACCGTCCTAGCATAACAGATCACCAAAGCCAGCCTATACGATAGGTAAGCAAAGCCCAGCCTAGCGCACTATACCAAAGACAGCAAAGCATGGATGAATCGATAAGAAATGAAGGACGGAAGACAGGCCTGGTTGCTGAGGCTTTATCTCATTGACCTATATTATATTGGCCTAGGTAAATGAACATGGTGCTGACGGAGTATGCTGGGCGACTGTCAAGCGACCATGGATGCATGCCGGGTGAAGGGTGCGAGCAGACGGACTATAAAAAAAAGCCAGCATAGGATCGCATACCACACAATGTCAGCAAACGATATAAACAAAGCCAGCATATCGGATATACAGCCAGCATACGATACACACACACGAGCGGGAGCAACGATAAACAATAGCGCCAAGCATACGCGCACTCACAACAAGGAGTAGGCCAGCATAACTGATAGCACAAAGCCAGCAAGTAGTACGATAAAACACATAACAGTCATACACGAATACAAAGCCGCATATTACGCATAACTTTATATATACAAAGCCAGCATAACGATTTAAACAAACGCCCAGCATAACGGAGTAATCAAAAGCGCAGCATACGCGGAGTCCACACGTGTCGCGCAAGCACAGGCATAACGATACACAAAAGCCTAGCATCACGATAACACAAAGCACATACGATACAACAAAGCCAGCATAAGACGGATACACAAGGCCAAGCAATAGCGATATACAACAAGAGCAGTAAGTACGTAACACAAAGCCAGCATTACAAAGAAACATGCATGATTTTACCGAATACAGCAAAAGCCGAAGCATAACGGATACTTTTATGCAAGCCAGCATACGTTTTATTACCAAGCGCATGCATACGATAGAACAAAGCCAAGCAGTACGATAAACAAAGCCAGCAGACGATAGCACAAAGCCAGCATACGACTAAACAAAGCCAAGCATCGATAGCAGAAAGCCAGCATACGATACACAGAAGCCAGCATACCGATATACAAAGCCAGCATACGATAAACAAAGCCAGCATACCGGAGTGAGGAGCAAAAGCCAGCATGACGGATAAACAACGGCCAACATACGGATAAACCAGAAGTCCAGCATGGAGGGCGATAAACAAAGCAGATATCGATACCAAAGCCACGACATACGACATACAAAGCGCCAGCACTATGGCGATAAACCAAGCCAGTCCAGAACGATAAACAAGAGCTAGCATACGAATATGACAAAGTCACGCATTAACGATACACAAGAGGCCCTAGCTATGAACGGGATATACATAAGCCAGCATACGATTATACAAAGCCAGCTACGATAAGACAAAGGCCAAAGAACGAAAAAACGGAGGGCCAGGCGGACGAACGATACACAAAGCCAGCAAACGATATACAAAGCCAGCTAAGCAGATATACAAAGCCAGCATACGATAAACCAGTTCCAGCTACAGGTGCCGATAAACAAAGCGAGTCATACGAAAAACAAAGCCAGCATACGATAATACAAAACCAGCCATGAGCGATACACAAAGCCGAGCATACGCGATAATACAAAGCCTAGCATAGCGATACTACAAAGCCAGCAAAACTATATACAAAGCCCAGCGCATAACGATACCTACAAAGGCCAGCATACGATTAAACAAAGCCAGCTACTGATAAACACAGCAGCATACGTATTAGAACCACAAACCAGCCATACGATAAACAAAGCCAGCGATTACACGATAATACAACAGCCAGCGATAATAGCAAAAGCTCCAGCATACGGTATACGACACAGAGCAGCAGGATACCGATACACAAAGCCCAGCATACGATATAACAAGCCAGCAAACGTATATGACAAAGCCAGTATACGATTACAAAGCCAGCAACGATTATACAAACCAGCAGTACGATAATACAAAGTCAGCCAAACGATGATATCAGTACCAGCATATGCGATAACAAAGCCAGCAGATAACGCATCAATATCCAAATCGCATGACAAAACGATTAGAGCAAAGGGCAGCGACAAAACGGATAATGACCAGAGAAAGGAAACAGCATACAAGTATCTACCGATGTCCAAGTTCAGCAACGTAGTACGATAATAGCACAAGTCCAGCATACTCGATATACAAAGCTAGCATAAGCGCACATTCGATATAAATGGGGTCAGAGGCCACTAGGATCAGGCGATATATTACAAGAGGCCAGCATATCTGATAATACACCCACAAGAGTTTGCCATGCAATGTAGACGATAATAAAAAGTCAGCGATACGTTGATATACATAAGTCACAATGTAACGATTTATATAAAGCCAGCAATACCGATATGAGGCATAGGCCCAGCACTCACTGCGATTATAATCAGGCCAGCACTATGACGATATACAAGAGCCCAGGCAGACGATATACAGAAGCCAGCAAGGTTGTCAAAGGATGATGATTTATCATTTAAGCTCGAGCAAACGATAAATACAAGAGCACATCAAACAAACGGTATATAAGAAAGTCCAGCAGACGAATATCATAGCCAGTCAGACGATAGTATCAAAGACCAAGCAGGGATCGTACATAGTATCACATGCCGCAGCAGACGATGAATACAAAGCCCAGCGATCTGCGAGGTACACAAAGCCCGGTATACGATATACAAATCCAGCATACCGATATACAAAGCCAGGAGGAGGGCGAAGAGCAGAAGTGCCAGCATAAGACGCATAGCACAGGAACCGAACAGCAATCGAGTCTGACCTAATATTAACCAAAGCGTAGTATACTTCGATAGGAATTAGCAGAGCGCCGTGCCTCGGGGGGAACGATATACAAAGCCAGCATATGAGTATAGCAAAGCACAGCACAATCGCGAATAATACAAGAGTTAGCAGCATACGATATACAAAGCCAGCATATGCAGATATTAACAGCCAGCATTCGATAACAAGTCGCATACGATATACAAAGCCAGCATATCGATATACAAGGCCCAGCCATACGATCATAATACCAGATTACGATATATGCATCGAAGAACAGCATACGATATACAACGAAGCCAGCAAAACGATGATGACAGAAGACCAAAGCCAGCAAACGATATACAAAGCCAGCAGACGATATACAAAGCCAGCAGACGATATACAAAGCCAGCAGACGATATACAAAGCCAGCACACGATATACAAAGCCAGCAAACGATATACAAAGCCAGCACGAGCCAGATAACGATATACAAAGCCAAAGCAGACGATATACAAAGCCAGCAGACGACGATATACAAAGCCAGCATACGATATACAAAGCCAGCATACGATTTACAAAGCCAGCATACGATATACAAAGCCAGCATACGATATACAAAGCCAGCATACCAAGCCAGCATACGATACAAAGCAGCAGACGATATACAAAGCCAGCAAACGATATACAAAGCACGACATACAAAGCCAGCATACGACATACAAAGCCAGCATACGACATACAAAGCGCAGAGCCACATACAAAGCCAGCAACGATATACAAGCCATACAGCATACGATACAAAGCCAGCATACGATATCAAAGCCAGCGACAAAGCCAGCATACAACAAAGCCAGCATACGATATACAAAGCCAGCACACGATATACAAAGCCAGCATATACAAAGCCAGCACACGATATACAAAGCCAGCATATACAAAGCCAGCATATATACAAAGCGATATACAAAGCCAGCATACGATATACAAAGCCAGCATACGATATACAAAGCCAGCATACGATTTACAAAGCCAGCATACACAAAGCCAGCAGACGATATACAAAGCCAGCATACGATATACAAAGCCAGCATACGATATACAGAGCCAGCAGACGATATACAAAGCCAGCAAACGATATACAAAGCCAGCATACGATATACAAAGCATACGATATACAAAGCCAGCATACGATATACAAAGCCAGCATACGATATACAAAGCCAGCAGACGATATACAAAGCCAGCATACGATATACAAAGCCAGCAGACGATATACAAAGCCAGCATACGATATACAAAGCCAGCATACGATATAAGCCAGCGATATACAAAGCAGCATACGATATACAAAGCCAGCAATACGGATACAAAGCCAGCATACGATACACAAAGCCAGCATATACAAGCCAGCATACGATATACAAAGCCAGCATACGATATACAAGCCAGCATACGATATAGCCAGCATACGATTTACAAAGCCAGCATACGATATACAAAGCCAGCAACGATATAAAGCCAGCATGCGATATACAGAGCCAGCATACGATATACAAAGCCAGCATGCGATATACAGAGCCAGCATACGATATACAAAGCCAGCATACGATATACAAAGCCAGCATACGATATACAGAGCCAGCATACGATATACAAAGATACCAAAGCCATACGATTTACAAAGCCAGCATACGATATACACAAAGCCAGCATACGATAATACAAAGCCATACGATATACAAAGCCAGCAAACGATATACAAAGCCAGCATACGATATACAAAGCCAGCAGACGATATACAAAGCCAGCAGACGATATACAAAGCCAGCAGACGATATACAAAGCCAACATACGTAATTATAAACAGCATAACTAAACTTTATCACATGTTCTAGAAGACAATTATAAAGGCCAATGAACTCTTTATTGATATCTATGACAGTTTATAAATCATTTGGGGTGTGAATAAATCTTTGGCATCGCACTGTAGCTAAGGACGATATGCTTATATATATTTTTTTTATTTGATTATCGAAATGGTTTGTGTGTTTGTTCTTTTATTTGTTTTGTTGTCGTTATCATCATTGTTATCATCAGTTTTAGTATTTTTGTCATAGTTATTATTATTGTTATTGTTGTTATTATTATCATTATCAATATTATTATCATTATTATCACATATTATCATTATTATTATCATTATTATCATTATATTCATCATAATCCTTATTATTATTATCATTATCTTTATCATAATCATTATTATTATTATCATTATATCTATCAAATCATTATTATTATTATTATTTCAATTACTTTTATTATTATCAGTATTATCATTAATATCATTTAGGTAATTGTTATAACTATTCACGCTATTATTAATTTTTTATTACATCATCATTATCATCATCTCATCATCATTATCATTATTATTATTATTATTATTATTATTATTATCATTTATTATCCTCATCATCACAATTATCATCATCGCTTTATATTTATATAATAATACCAATGGAAATAATACTTATAATAATGATAATAACAACAACATTAATAATAATAATGATAATAATAATAATAATAATAATAATAATAATAATAATAATAATAATAATAATAATAATAATGATGATTCATGGTAATCATTCTATTATCATTATTATTATCATCAATATCATTGTTACTTTTATAACTACTATTACTAATATTACTATCATCATTAAAGATGATGTAATAAAAATAATAATAGTAATAATAATAATAATAATAAATAGTAATGATAATGATAATGATAATAATTAACGAAATACATTAACATAATAACAATAGTAATAAATTTTAACAATAATAAAATTAAATCAATAATATCAATATCAGTACTAATAAAGATAAAATAATAGTAATGATAATGATAATAACAATACTATTGATCATAATAGTAATAATAGTAATAAGGATGATAATAATGATAATAATAACAATAATAATGATAATAATAATAATTAATAATAATAATATGATAAATATCATCAACGATGATAATGGTAATAATAATCGTAATAATAATGATAATAAGAACAATAACAGTAATGGTAATAATAATAACATTGAAAATAATAACATTAATAGTAATAATAATCATAACAATGATACTGATAATAATGATGATATTAAGAAATCTTACATATTCATCGAATACGATAATTAATATAATCAATTTATCTCTCTCTCTTTGATTAATCTGGAATGTGGGAAATATTTAATGAATAAGTAAAATAATAAATCCATAAAACTGCTTGATATTAAGATAATGGTAATAATGATTATTGTAACATCTATAAATCGCAATAAAGTGTTCATAATAAGACTATGCAAAGTAGAAAAAAGAGAAATAAGTAGAAAAAAGAGAAAAAAATGCAAAAAGAAAGAAAAGAAAAAACAACAACAAAAAAAATGCAAAAAGGAAAAAAGGAAAAAAAAGAAAAAAAAAAAAAAAACATGCAAAAAGAAAAAAGGAAAAAATGCTAAAAAATAAAAAAAAAAAAGAGAAAAAAAAGAAAAAAAAAAAGAGAAAAAAGGAAAAAAAAGAAAGAAATGAAAAAGCAAAAGAAAGAAAAAGACGAAGAAAAAGAAAGAAAGAAGAGGAAGAAAAAAAACAATGACATCGACAATAACCACATCTCTCGAGATGCTCATACCTTATTATGACGTAACTTCTTGTTTTTTTCGTAACCAAACCAAGCCTTTTCAAACTTCCCGCCAGAGAACGCTTGCTACAGTTTCCATGACGTCACAATAGTAAACAAACCGCTAACATGGCCGACTCAAATTCGTAAATTCAGGGAAATTCTGTTGGTGATTTAATTATTTTGTGTCTTAAAGATATTATCATCAACCGAGAATTTTTAATCATATCTATACCGATCAGAAGTATCATCTGGAATATATTAATAGCTTAATTATTCCTTAGATGATAAGTATTAGCTACTTATAACTGACCAACCCGG